TATATATATGTATATATATACATATATATACATATACATATATATACGTCTATATTTGTATATATATAAGGTGATAGTGGGTAGTTGTTCGTCCTATTGTTTGTTTGTTTAGTTTGTCCGGAAATTCAGTTCCACCAGAAGAACAACTTGGAGAGGTGGGGTCAAGGTGGGGATGGGTAGGGCATGGGGCAAGATTAAATAGCACTTAAATAGCACGCGTGACCCATGCTGAGCCCCGCCCACAGCGGGCGGGCATGCGCCGAAAGCGGAAAAAAAAACTCATAACTCGCTTCCAGAGCAGCCCAGAGATGGGGAAAAAGTGGAATAAGGTTAGCAAGGGGTTGTCGAACCAATTAGGGGAGACATACCCGAAATGGGCGGGGCGTCATAGGCGGTGCTTCCTCGAGAAAGCTCATTGTCTCGGTTCTCCGAGAGAGTTTAGAAATCGCAAAAAAGTCGGTGTAGGAGGGCAACACCTGGGGAGAGTTCGGCATGCCTGAGGTGTGTTGAGACCCGCCCACAGTGGGCGGAGCTTGCTCTCATTCATAGGGTGCACATTCAAAAAATTTGTAGCTTGGTTCCAGAGCACTCCAGGGACCGGAAAAAGTGGATTAAGGTCAGCAAAGGGTCGCCGATTGAGAAATGTGGGGCACACATGTTGTGGGCGGTGCCAGTCCGAGGTGGGCGGAGACAGACAAAAGTTCTGTAAAACGGTTCCAGAGCACTCCAGGGACCGGAAAAAGTGGATTAAGGTCAGCAAAGGGTCGCCGGTAAGAAATGTGAGGCACACATGTTGTGGAGCCTGCCCGAGGTGGGCGGAGACAGACAAAAGTTCTGTAAAACACGGAAGTGGATGGTCAGGAGGGATCACTGTTTGATGCGGCACACAGCCGTTGTAGGCGGAGCGTGCGGCTAGGCGGCGGAGCCAAACGCAGAAATATAGAATGGTTCCATAACAGACTCCAGGCACCGGCAAAGACGAGCAAAATGTGCAGGAGCTCCGCTATTGAAGCGAGATTTACGCGCCCATTCTGTGCGGAGCTGTGTCGATGTTGTGGGCGGGCGAAGGTCAAAATTCACGAATTAGTTGCAGAGCAGCATAGGCACCGGGGACAGGTGGATTGAGGTCCACAAGGGGTCAGCGGACGAAGTGGAGGAGACATCTCAAAAATAGGCGGGCTGCTTGCTCTTGCTGAAAAATTTCATGGTTCGCCTGAGTGAGCTTGGAGATCGAGAGTTCAGAATGTCTGTGGTGTGTTGAGACCCACCCACAGTGGGTGGAGCGTGTTCAAGCATGGGGTCCTGCTTTCACTGCGTTTTAGTGCATAGGCCGCCACACTTTTGAACACCTGTTGTCACACGTACATTTGATACCAGTCGGTTCGCTGGCTGACGCCGGCGCGACTCCTTTTCTAATAGGGCCAGGCTTTGCCGGTTTTGCTTACTTCGTCGCGCCCACCTGCTTGCGTATGTTTGAATGCTCAACTAATACCCGGTTTCTCTCTCATCTGCGCATTTGATCAACGCTGCTTACCACCATTCATAGACGGTAATAGTGTCGAAAATAGTAGGTATGATATTATTGCTCAAAGAGACTACACTGCGTCCCAAAAGTATACAGCCACCCATAAATCTCACAATATCCCTCCCTACACGACGTTTTCAAAAAAAGCCTCTAGGTATAAAATGTGGTAATTACCAGTACCAATTTGCATGCCAACTCCGAGAACTGACTTTCCAGAGCAACTTCAACTTTCTTTATTTTTTGAAAATTTCTCACTATGACAATGTCCCACAAGTATACAGCCACCGCATATTTTCCCATTGCGTCTCATTTTTTTCGGGTAAACTTTCTCATCATCACTACCTTTGACCTTTTCCAGGTTATGGCGAGAGGGCTTTCACTGTCTGACTTCGAAAAGGGGCAGATTATCGCAAAGAAGGCTCAAGGACTGTCGAACCGTCAAATCGCAAGAGAGTTGGGCCGCAGTCATTATGTTATCAATCATTTTGTCAGGGATCCCGCAGGATATGGAATCAGGAAGAGTTCTGGGCGTCCTCCTTTGCTGTCTGAACGAGATAAACGTCGTATCCTGAAAGAAGCGTCCAACTCCACGATGTCATGCAGGGAAATAAAGTCATCCCTGAAGCTCAATGTCTCGAAAAATACTGTTTGGCGTGTCTTGAAGAAGTCGGAGTTCATCCTGAGAGAGAAAATGAGGAAGGCACCGTTCCTGACAGAACGTCATCGCGAAAACCGACTTGCTTTTGCTAGAAGATGCTGCCGAACCGACTGGAGCAAGGTTAGCTTTCGGCTGCGGTGCCCCTCTGCTTGTCTTTTCAGTTTTTTTTCTTTAGGTCGTGTTTTCCGATGAGAAGAAATTCAACTGCGACGGCCCAGATGGAAATAGATTCCTACTGGCACGATCTCTGAGCTCAATTTTTCGAGGCGGAACTTCAGAGGGGGTGGTGTCATGGTCTGGGCTGCGATCGCATCAACGGGACGTTTGAAGCTGTGCTTCGTATCGAAGAAAATGAACTCTTCCGACTACGTAGAGGTAATGCGACGAGGTCTGTTACCTTTCTGGCGAAGGATACGGCATGAAAGTCCTGTATTCGTGCAAGACAATGCACCAATCCATGTCAGCCGGAGCACTCGAGCGTGGTTCAGCCGTCATCAATCACTCTTTTGCCCTGGCCAGCGAATAGCCCAGACCTAAACCCTATCGAGAATGTTTGGGGCTTCATGGTACGCAGGATATACGCGCACAATGCGCGATTCGAAAATGTCCGTCGCTCAAGGAGGCTATCATTGATGCATGGCACCATGTCGACAAAACACTTATAGACCACCTCTATTCGAGCATGGACAACCGCATTTTCGAACTTATTCGAAAGAATGGGGCTGCAATAGATTATTGAAATGACGATTTATTAAATTTGTTGTACACTTGTTGTTTTCTGAATCGATTCGTTTAGTGGAAGTATACTTGTGGGACATTGTCAGAGTGAGAAATTTTCAAAAAATAAAGAAAGTTGAAGTTGCTCTGGAAAGTCAGTTCTCGGAGTTGGCATGCAAATTGGTACTGGTAATTACCACATTTTATACCTAGAGGCTTTTTTGAAAACGTCGTGTAGGGAGGGATATTGTGAGATTTATGGGTGGCTGTATACTTTTGGGACGCAGTGTATGTGTACAGGTGAAATAAAATCCGGATAATTGTTGAGTATCCAGTGTAGAAGGAGGTAAGCGCGGCGAAGCCGCGCCCGCCCGGCGAAGCCGGGCCGTATCACGGAAGGAGGCGCGCCGGCGTTGGCCGCGAGCCGTCTGGTCATTCCATATGCCATTAATGTTACTGTTGTCTCTTGTAGAAATTCACGTGAACTTTTTACAAGGAAGTATTAGAAACTCATGCTCCAGCTTAATAGCTCAATACTTTCAGATCAGATTGGCTGATCTGCACATGCAATTAGCGGACAGCTATCGCGGTTCTGCTGCTTTGAGAAGTGCTTGGTTTGACGCGTTAGCTGATCTTCATACAGCTGGTGAGCATTGACTGCCCTTAATTCTGGGAAGAGGCGAGATTATGTATTGAGCCAGCATTGATCTGATTGCCCGTATTCCTTGTAGAGAATTGGCATACAGAAGCTGCAGTGTGTCATGCTCATTCCCTGGCTATCATTGCCAAGGAGCTCGCATCAAAGGGTAAGTTGTTATTATTGATCCAATTTTCTTCCCACTTATTAGGTTGTCCGGAAAGTTCTGCACGTTTTGTGTTACTATTTTTTGAACATTCATTGCTGATTAAAAACTCATTCTCCCTTGCGTCTCAGTAGTACATCCTGAAGAGAATTCTTTGCGCTATCTGATGGTATAATTGCCGTTTCACCATTGCTTGATCCCCCTTTTTTCAAGATTTTTTCAAGCATGTGAAAAGAGCACTTCGGACGATTTTTTTCTTCGACTATAAATTGGGGCAATCCGCAATCGAAACAGCTCAACAAATTAACCAGGTGTGGGGGCCCAATAGTGCTAGAGAAAGCACTGTGCGGCAATGGCTCAACAAATTTCGTTCTGGAGATTTCAGCCTTGAAGGTGAACCTCATAGCGGTCGACCTAAAGCAATATCTGACGAGGATTTGAAGGGGTTTTTGGAGGCTGACCCATCCCAAACAGTTCGAGAGATTGCAGAAAAGCTAGGCGTTGGCAAATCCACTGTTGCGGATGGTCTGAAACGCATTGGGAAGGTGAAAAAACTCGACAAGTGGGTGCCCCACAATTTGAGTGACCGGCAGAAATTGGCACGTCTCGAGGTTTCTTCTTCACTGCTTTTGCGCAACAGAAACGACCGTTTTTGTTTTTGGACCGAATTGTCACCTGTGATGAAAAATGGGTCATGTATGATAACAGGAGACGTTCCGGACAGTGGTTGAATTCCCTCGAACCACCGAGGTAATTTTCAAAG